AAATTAATTCTGGTTGTAAGCACATGGGCCCAAGATCCTGGTTCTACCACTGACCAGCCATGTGACCTTGGCAAGACTGTTTTCTCGTCTAATTCTTAAGGCTGCTGTGAGGCTTAAATGAGATAGGGCACGGAAATGCCTGGCACAATGCCTGGCAAATATTAAGTGCTCTTGGTCTCCACAGACTAAGCTGATCTTGGGAGACTGGGGCTGGGACCCGGGCCCAGGCTCAGCCCCGGGTGAGGACTGAGAGTCCCAGGCAGGGTACAGCCCCTGGTTCCTGGTAACTACGAATCTAGCAATATGGAGTTTCCCTTGCCCCTAGCATCATTAACACTAATACTTGTTTTGCTCTTTCAGACAAAGATGACAAGTCAATTCTAGCATCAGTCATGGAGAGTCTGCAGAAGAAATCAAAGCACCTTATGTGAGCTTTGGCGCAGCCCAGGAATCAGGAGGATGTTGTGATGTGGGGCTTCTTGGCCTGTCTACTGCATGGCTCCAGTGAGGGAAGCCCAGTCTGCTCTCTGGTACTTGTCAGTGTAAACATGCAGTGAAGGGATGGGACAATAAACTGACCAAGCTCACTCTTGCCTGTTCCTGAGGGTGGTGTACAGCAGGGACGAAGGAGGTGGAAATGAGAGTGGGATGGGGATACACGAAACCCAGACCTCCAAGAGCCTGGTCCAAACCAACCCACATGGGAAGTGACCAGTTCCCTTTTGAGTGGGCCTTGACTCGCCTTCCTCTCCTCCGCAACCACACTGTACTCACCCCTCCTCTCGGGGCATGGGTGGGCAAGTGTTACCAGATTCATCCTCCTCCCCATCCTGCTCCCTCCCATTTCTTTATACCAGGTCGGTCTGTCATCAGAGTTCTGGTGCTTGAAGGGATCAGGACCCTGCCTCTTTAGCGTCCAGGGTTCTCACCGCTTGAGAGCTAGAGCATCTCAGGACTAGAAAGGATTAGTCATCCAGCATCAACTTATGTTTTGCAGCAGAATCCTTTGTTTTAAAAAAATCATAAGAAGCTACTGGACTTGAAACAAAGGATAGGGGTCTTTGAGCCTCCCTCCACTACTTATTATTTTGCTATTTTCCACCAGAGATTTCTGCAAAAATCCTTGTTTGAAAATCACTGATTCATCCAATACCCACATGGGACTTGAGTCTCCTATCACATCCTCACAACTGTACAACCTCTCTAATGGCATATTCTAAACCACCCAAGGCTTCCCTTTCAAATTCTGGGTCAGGGCCCTGCCCATTAAGATGCAGATGTCCCTGAGGTCAGGGTATGTGTTATTCTGCCAGAGTTTCACATAAACAATATGAATCACCAGTCTAATTCCATTCCTCCCAGCTATTCAACTGAGCCCAGAGTCCAAGGAGAGAGGAGATGCTTGAAGGGGCTCTGGATCATTTTGGAGCAGGCAGCAGGTCTGGGAGGAGGTGGGCAGCAGGAGGACTGGGTAACTAAGTGTGTAGGTGAGTGCATCAAGGACAAATTTGGATGGTGGCAAATATTACCCATCCCCCATCCTCCTGAACTAGATTCTCACTCATATGTGACCAGAGAAGTGAGACCCACTCCAACTAGCACAGTATTACCAGAGAACCAGGGATCCAGTCAGGCATGAAGACGCACTGGCCAAGACTGTGACCCAGGCTGTGAGGACATCCAGGGCCCCTGGCTCCATGTCCCCACCCCCTCCTTTCCAGGACAGGCACGTGCCACACAGACAGACAAGTGGGGCCAGACAAGCCAACAGCCCACGGTTTTTATTTTTTTTCACATGAGCAGTAAAGGATGGAGTTGTCCCATCCTTGTTCCCCTTGCATTGAATGTGCCTTGGGTCTTATGACCCTAGAGTATCATTGGAGCCCTCTCTTCTTGCTCCCAGTACAGGAGTGGCATGAAGGAAAGCACTGAGGGGGATGTGGGGGCTCCCAGCCCTCTGAGCCAGGCTCAGCACCCCTAGAGCAGCTCCCTGAGGCCTCTCCATAAGACTTTGACAGCAGAATGGAGACAGATGGCAGAGAAAGACAAAGGCTGAGAGACAGATTGTACACAGACTCACACACACAGACACACAAGCTAGCCCCTTCCTTTGGTATGGTTCACCCTAGCCCTGGGGTTAGGGTCTGAGGGTAGTGACGTAAGGCCTGAGCTCTGGGCTGGCCTTTGAAAGAGATGGGACCAACTTGAATCCTTGAGACCCCAAACTCCCAGGCCAAAGAAGTCCCCTCTCTTGCCTACCAGGACAGACACCATTTCATCTTCCCACCCGCCACATAGATATTGAAATTGTTCA